TCTACTTTAGAATTAGACACATTATTTCTATTTATTTAATAGCTACTCTTAAATTATTAACAGGGATGTTTAGCTTTAGGAGGTTTGAAATTAGCCAAGATTTCTACACTCCTCCTGAATAATACAAAGACTTTAAATATGCAAATACCCCTGGCATCTGACAAGATAACCTCTAGGGATAATCAAGATTCTAAATTCTTTGTAAAAGCAATAATTCTGAAATTAAAAACACTGTGAACCAAAACAAAAATTCAATTTACTCAACACCAAAAAACAAAGAGTGTCACATTATTTAAAGACCACTTTATTTAAGGAATAGTTGACCTATATATCCCAGTAAAGTAAAATGACACTCTGGCAAAATAACCAGTCAAAATCAGGCCCTATTTTTGGCTGGGGTTATGGCTCAGCGGTAGAGGGCTAGCCTAGCACGTTCAAGGGCCTGGGTTCAATCCTTAGTACCACACAAAAATAAACAAATAAAATAAAGGTATTGTGTCCAACTACAACTAAAAAATCAATATTAAAAAAAATCAGGCCCTAAGTTATATCACCTGAAAAAAAGAAAAAGAAAGACTAACATTTACAAAAGAAATAGATTCAATGTGTGTATTTAAATGTTTTTAATCAAAAGTTCTGTGTGGTGGACGTGCTTCCTCTTTACATGAAGGACATGACACATTTCTAATTGTGCACCATAAGTGAAATGTGAATTTGGGTATACATTCAATTTTTAATAACTGTAGGTTCTCATCTATTTGACATTTAATTTTCTGACAATGCAAGAAAAAACATGTACTTTCATACTTAAAAGTACCCAAAATTACCTAGATAAAATTCTCTTCTATTAGGTAGAGGGAAAAAAAAAAAGTTTAGTGAAACTCTTCCAATTCAGCTAGAACAGAAAAATGTAATCTCAAGTTTTCATCCTCAAGAAGGATACCTTTTTATTGATGAGGAAGGAGACATTTGAATTTAAAGTGGCCAAGCATTTTCTGATAACGTAGTGACTCATGTGCACTGTATTAATGTGTGGCTTCCTGGATTGTTCTAACTCTCCCTGCACATTAAAAGTCATACATCATTTGTAAAAATACATGATTCTAGTCAACTAATTTTGAAAACTAACAACCTTTTCTTTCTTAAATATTCCTATTTGGGAAGCAGGTTTGAACATTTTGACCCTGTCTGCTTGTATGTATAATGATTATGAATCTGTCCTAATGAAGTGTTTGAAAGGTTGGACCATTTAGTTTAAATAACATTTACCATTTTTCTTAATTAATTTTTTAACATATATGATAGGCAGAAAACTTGGAAACCACATGAAAGTACAAAGAAAAATAATCGTCAAATCACCGGAACTTTTCCTTCATTATCTCTTGGCACCAGTGCTAATTTCAGGGTATTGTCCTTTGACAATTGTTTTGTCTGGACTCAATTTCTCATATTTTTTCTCAGCCATTCCTTAACTCTTCATTGTTATGACTGCTCTTAATATGCTTGTTTGATTAATTTATAATAAAATTTTAAGGATGGCTATCTTTGTTTTATTAATTTATTTATTCAACATTCAAATATTTATTAACATCTACTATGTGTAAAGTATTGCATGGGAATATATAACAAACAAAGCTCATTTCCTCATGGAACTTACTAATTAGGGAAAAGCCTAAGCAATTTAGTGAGGCACTAAGTAATTCAGTGAGAGCCCCACTAAATTGCTTAGGCTGGCTTTGAAGTTGTAATCCTCTTGCATCAGCCTTCTGAGCTGCTGGGATTATAGGGATGTGCCATTGCACCTGGTTTAAAATTTGGTTATGCTGCCCAAGTGGTGGTGCATTTCTGTAATCCCAAGGACTTGGGAGGCTGAAGCAAGACAATTGCAAGTTCATAGCCAGCCCGAGCAATTTAGCAAGGCACTTAGCAACTCAGCAAGAACCTGCCTCTAAAGAAAATATAGAAAAGGGCTGAGGATGTGGCTCAATGGTAAGCAACCCTGGGTTCAATCTCTGGTACCAAAAATAAAGTAATAAATAAATAAATAAATAAGTAAGTAAATTTTGGTGAGATTATTTTTAAAACATGGCTTTTAACTTACAAGTATCTGTTCCATAGTCTTAATGCACAAATAATTTTTTAGAAAGCATGAGAAAAGAAAAATATAGCAGAGCAAGTCAACAGATGAGTTATGTCTAGTTCCTGCTTCTAAAAGCTTTCAATATTACATAAAGAAAGATAACTTCACACACGTGAGCACCTACCCACACATGAGTAAAATGTCTATAGAGCTTCTTCCCACTCTGTCTCTGGCTCATTCTAATTAATCCTTCACATTTCAAATTGAATATATTTTCTTAGATGAAAATTACTTAACCCTCTTTATCAGCTTTTTTAAAAACAGTTTTTAAAGCATCCTGAATTTTTCCTATATAGCATTCATTATATTTATAACTATAAATATTTAGTATCTCTCTCCTCACTAGACAATGAACATAAAAAGCTCAACATACTAGCAAAGTGTCTGGCACAAACTATGAGCTTAAGAAATAGTGACTACATGAAACATCTCAAATCTATAAAAGACTGTGGCAGGGAAAAGCAAAGAGAAAAAGGAAGTGTGATGGGAATGTAATGGAAAGAGAAAGAAGGCTTAGATGGGTGCTCAAAAAAGGCTCTATTTGAAGTATGAAGTGAACCTTAGTGGATATGTATCAGAGGGGTGTTACAGAAAGGATGGGCTGGTAGAGGCAGGAATGATTAAGGTCGATAGACCCTTAGACATAACATACCAGGACTGTGGTACTTTTAGGGGCCCACGAAACATTGTCATTTATTAAGCTGAAGGAAAGAATGAATGTAATACTAATCAATATATAATAACGAACCAAATGTGGGTATAAAAATTATAGTATTGTTTTTTTGGCAGAAAAGGACTCAGTAAGGTAAAAGGATACAGGGCCATTGAACATGATAAGGCAGCCCTGGAGATGATGCTTGTGTACAGGAGGCAGTATTTTGGCTAGAAACCTAGAAATATGAAAGATGACCTGAGGCTGAAAATGTAGGTTGGCCTCAGGTTAAGTAGAGCTGAAAAGACAGGTGGAGAAGGTTCTTTAAACTTCAACTGGCCTTCAGAGTGTCTTTGTGCCAACTTTTAGTTTTCAGCAGGGCTTTAGGAAGAGAATGCTTACAGGAAGAAATAAGGCTGGTTAAGTAAAATGCTCAATTCGAAGTCTTTTGTGTTGATTTAGATGAGAGTTAAAGAGATTACGGGAAGGTGAATGAGAATATTTGAATATTCGATATTTGAATATTTACCTGTGCAGTTTAGATCATATGCAGAAAAGCTTCCTTTTCCTGATTAGAAAGCCCTGAAGCGATATGTATATATTTATATTCTTTGTAATTAAAACTTCTATATTCTCAGGGCATTGAACATAGAGATACACAAGAAAACAAAAAAGTTCAGCTCTTGGGAATGCATTAAATTTTCTTCTAAACCTCATTGACTGAGCCATTCTGATCAACAAAGCAAATGACCAAAGCATGAGCATATGACAGTGAGTGCCTTCCAATTGATTGATGGTTTGAATATTCGGCTCAGCAAAAYTGAAGCAACCACATACATGTTGATTATAATCCATTTTAAAGTTAACTTTCAATGATTCATATTTTTTTCTGAATTGAGAAATCTCTGTCTATATTCTGTAACTATTTTAAAAGTTATATTTTTCATCATCAAACATGCATTGATGTATAGCATTAATTCATGTCATGTACAGAAAAAGCTATAATGACATAAAACCACATACTATGCATGAAACACAGTTGTGTTATATGTAGATTTGTGAGCTTCCTCCCTTAGTGAGTGATTTTATGTATCTAAGATTTGTCAATCCTTGTGTGGGAAATACAGGAAGAGTATGACATGTTGGGTGCAGTGGAGTATCTAACCTAAAGGGAAAGAAAAGTGAAGTTTGCATCAAGTCCTGAAATGCTAGTCTGGCAGGTCAAAGCAAAGCAACATACACATTTTTCAAATTATAGGGATTAGACTTGCATTTTTTTAAATTTTGTTAACCTTTTGGAACTTTACCATCCTTATTGATGGCAAGCGATAATCAGGTTTTGTAGCACTGCTCAGCCATTTTCCATATTCCTTAGGAAAAATATTTAAAAAACAGCATGAAATTTATGAATTCCTGTTGGTAAGAGATTAAATAATTACTGCATAGTTTTGATGGTTAAATTAGCTGCCAACTGTGTTTTACAGAGTGTCTCTTTGAAGACAGAGAAATAGACTAAGTGAATTTTCTGGAAGCTCCTAAACTCTGGTCCTTTGATCAACTTTAGAAGTATGAAAAACAATACACCTAATATATCTAATACTCTCTCAAAGAAACAAATTACAGTGTTGAGATTATATCCTGTAAACCATGAAAAACTCATTGTTCTACACCATTATATGAAAATTGAAAGATGTCAAAACAAAACCATCTAATTGGTCATTTTTAGAGGCGCCCATCAATTTCATTAACAATATTACTGAAATAAATTCAGGATAGAATTTTCATAATTGAGACTTATGTGGAAAGCAGTTGAATGATTCTCCCACTTTTGTATTGCAACCCTTCTGGGGCTGTATTCAAAACGTTGGTATCAAGTTAGGAAACGGAGTAAGTCAACGTTTCTCTTGGGGTTAAAGGTCTGTTCCTTTCAATCAGTTGAAACTGACAGGCRTCCTGCCATCACCTTCTCCAGAGCCAGGCAGACAGGCCCTGGCCTTCAGTGTGAAAACATCTGTTGAATGGATTTATTGACTGGATCTTGTTTTTTCTCTCCCTTTCTCTCTCTTTTTTTTTTTTTTTTCCTTTTCCCTTCACACCGTTTATTATGTCTCTGACCTGATGAACTTAATTTGTTGACATGTCGCTCTCAGTGTCTCCCTCGATGCTGGTCTCACGTTTCTGTCTACTGTGTTCTTTGCTCTGCAGCAGCCCTTCCCGGAGCCCCCGCACACACGTGCACTCTCGGCGCGCCAGGCTCAGCTGGCTGTGGTTGGCATGGATGGATTAGAGAAACATCGCCTTCTCTCCAGGACTCATTCTTCCCCTGCTGCCTCCATTTTACCACACCCTGCAACGGACCGCCCCCTCCAGCCTGGCTCTGCAACTGGTAGGAATCCCCAAAGACTCTCCCTAATAGGCAAGCGAAATGCACCCTTCTTGTAGGATTAGCCGATTTAAATGCTCAGAATAACTCCAACAGCAGAACGCTCCATTTTAACCCAATGCAACCCAAATTTTATGAGGTTACAGTGGCCACAAGACAAACAGCACATCTGATAAATCTTGGGCTTAGTATTAATAGCCTCATAAATTGCTATCATTCAAGGGCCTGGAAAATACATCAACAGGTGCATGGGTCCCTTTTGGAAACAAAAATCCCTACAACATTCTTTAGGAGTTTCTTCAGTATCTTTCCTTCTAGGATTTGGCCATTCGGAAATTTATGATACTTGGCTTCCTCATTGGACTCTAAAGAGCGTCCTTTCCTCAGTTTGTCTTCTGGTTGTTTTGTTTTGATATTTTTGTCTGACTTCCCACTCAAGTGACTCATGGGAGTCTATAGTACCAAGGCAATCGGTGCCTGATATGTTAGTATCACTTCCATTTATTATGGTACCTCTGGGTGGGCTTTTTGACCAATCTCTTCCTTTGTCTACAGCTGCCTACAGAGGAAAACAAGCTAGATAATTCTAAGGCCAGAGGAAGGTCAAGTCTGGAGCACATGCACACACACACACACACACACACACACACACACACTAATGGTGGTGGTCGTGGGGTACAATTCCCTCTGCAAAGGAACTGTGCTGTGAACCTATGGATGGAAAATTATTCATGCTCTTCCGCTGTACCTCATTATTGTTCCATGCTCTCAAACTGTGGTTGATCAAATGAAAGATAGTATAGCCCTAAGAGTTTCACAACTTGGATGCAGCAAGGAGAAAATTCATGTGTACCCCTTCCCCAAAGGCTCTTATGGGTTATCTGAGGGTTCTTTTTTTTTTTTTTTTTACTTCTGTGATCTCATGCAAGCCTTCATGCTTCTAAAAATACATTTTTTTGTAAATCATGTTCCTAAGCCTTGACATCATCTTTCAGTTAAAAATCAATGTCTGAAATGGCCAAGTTATTTAACTGTGATAGGCATCTTTAATAAATGTGCATAGGAGCTACTTTGTAGAATGTGTTATACCCTAAGACAACATTCCATGCTAGAACCTAAAGGCTGAGCATATTTCTTTTGCCAGATTAATCAGTCCATCTGATCCCTCTATTTCCAGAAGCACAGCAAACTTGCCCAGATATCCTGAACACACTGTTATTGCAGCCTAGTATTAATAGAAGCCTTCAAAATCAATCATGCCTAGGAATAGCCCTGTATGTCTAGCAAAGAAGATTTTGCTCATAGAGAAATTCCTGTTTTAATATAGCAAGAGCATTATCTTTAAGGATTATATACTTTTCAATTATTTTTTCCTGAAAGTGTCTTTTATTCAGAGAACACAGAATAACAGCCATCCTGTTGTAGTGCCATTTGTATTGACTAAAAATAATTTCTCTAATTGAAAAGTGAGCTTAAATATAAAGTTTCATACTGATGTTAACACCGTTAACACCTGTGGTGTTGGCAGTTATTGAAATACTCCAGGTAGGGTTTCTTCCGATGGTTTAGAGGAGTCACCCTTTCCTGACATGATTTGGACTGCTCCAGTGTGTACATATTCCTTTGATATCAACGAAGTGAGATCTCTGAGAAATCTGACATGTTTGAGAAARGAGTTTCTAAATGGAAAGGCTATGTAGGCCTTAGAAGAATCCAGATCCAAGAATGGACCAGAAACATAATAATATAGACATGATAATATATAGCATTATATATGTGTGTAATATATATGTACACATATACATGAAGACTTTTTTTATAGTATGTTTGAAACAATATATTTCTGAGCATAAAACTCCTTTCTGTTGACTTTTAATTATTTATTTGTTGTGCATATTTAGAAAAGATCAAAGTGACATTCAAGTGTGTTCTTGGGGAATTTTTTTTTTCAAAAAAAAGTCATACTATCTCATACACTCAATAGTTATTCCATCAACAAGGAAGAGGAAACAAACACGTTATAAAAGTAGGCAATTGACTTAAATCCATTCTGTAAGATCTATACTTTTTTGGTACAACTAAAGCATTATGTAACACTAATGTTACGTAACTTTTAAGGTATGACATTCAAACCTTCACTATCCATGTGGATCTTTAGCAGCCAACTGGAATAGTCACTCAACTTCCTTTTTTGGTAAGAACAAAGCAATGTTCCAGGGTGGATATATTAGTCAGTTGTTGAAAGATGAAGTCCCCAGTCCATTTCCTGAGAGGATTCCCAGACATAGCATAACATATAGCCAATACCTGGTGGCCCACAGAGAACTGTCATTGTCTGGAGAGAGACTGTTTTTAAGAAACCCCAAAAGAACATGGGGTCCTATAGCTACAGTAGTGAAAATGAAGAATAAGTGTATTATAGCTAGGTTACCGTGATCCTATAAGGATTTTATATTCTATTTTATTATGGATAATAATAGTCAATTTTAGAGGAGCTTTTAAAAATTCTAATTAAAGATTATGCATGGTGTTTATTAGAGGTTCTGAAAATTAAGGAAAGGGCACTGCGTTCATTTTCTCTGCTAAATTAATCTCTTCGACTCAATTACTCCTTATAAAGATGAGGTTTGGCCATGGTTTACAAGAGAGGTTCTGAAAGATGATTGTGCTCCTTTATACCAAATGGTATCCATCAGAACAATAAATTAATGTTAATAACGTGATGGGGTTTATCTTACACATCAGCAGATAATCTAAAGTCTTCTTTCTTTCAAATACCAGGATACTCTACATAATCCATATAAATAAGTTCTTTCCTTATAGCATTGTCTTTTTAGCCAGAGTCTAATATGAAATAGAATCACAATGCTGAAATGGTTTTAAACCAAAACTTGTGAAAGTCATTGCAATAATCTAATCAAATCATTATCATTATAAATAATCTAATTAAACAATTAATTTAAAAATATATTTAAAAATTGATATTTAGTGGCACACATGATGGATAGTTAAATATACTTGAATATTTTTCAGAGTGAGTCAAGGCTAATTCCATCTGATTCTTCAGGTTTTTCATGTTTCACTTAATATGTTACTTCCTTCAGGAAGCTTTATAACAGATGTATTTTTCCATCAAAAGTTATAATTATTTATCTATTTGGGAGATTAAGTTACAATGGATAGTCTATGAGAAAGAACTATTTTTCACTTCTCTCTAATATTAGAACTTGGTTACTTACATTAGAACTTAGATACATTACTAACACATGAAAGGTGCTAATATATATATATATATATATTTGTATGTGTATGTGAATATATATGTGTGTGGATATATATACATTTACTGTATAATAAACAAAAGAATCAGCAAAGAAATAAATAATTGAATGAAATGGGAGTAAGTAGATGTGAATTGTATGACATTATACATAAAAATCATTAAAATATCAAGTGATRTTTTGTGTAATATTTACATTTTTGTTAATTAGAAAAATTGATACATGTTCATAGAAGGCAAATTGGTAAATCTAGAATAATGTACAAGAGAATCATTCATTATTTTATTACTTTTAGGTAAACAAATTTAAATGTTTGTTCATATTGTCAGTGGTTTTACCTCTTCCTTAGGCTTCTCTTTAAAAAAAAGATATTTGCATATTTTTGTACATAACTGTATGCATGTGTGTATGTGTAAATTTGTATTGTCTTTTATATATATTCATTTGTATGCATGTGTTTGTTGTGTTTGTAAGTATGCATATGTTTAAGATTTTTCAAAGTAATTTCTATTACTACCTATATTAGAATAGAGAGGTTAATTTCTTTTTGTAGGTAATTTATTTTCTTAAATTGMTGTCCTCTAATATCTGTTTGAAATTTCTCAGATTAACTCCAAAATTTGCTCATCTCATTCTCTCTAAAGATGATAAAAATAGCTATCTTGTTTATTTAGGACATTAACTCAACTCGATGACATGTATCATATCAAAACATATTCACATACATAGTGTATTTATAAATATATCATTATGTATTCATCTTCCTTGTGTGCTATATATACATATTTGGGGACATGTCTTTATACCTGAGAATGTCATCTTTTTGTCTTCACACATGTTTGAATATAGACTTACTGGACACACATTTTTGCCTGAAAAGTTTGGAAATGTCCTATGCTCAAGGGTGCTGGCACTGAAGGGAGGAGTCTGAGGCCAATCTGATAGGTGTTTCTTTGTGGGCAGCCTGATTTTTCTTTTCTGGAATTGGTATATTTTCTTTATCCTGTTAACTTAAAAATTACCTTTCTGATGAGTGTTCACTTACAGATGCACATGACTCTCTTACTTATGGGAAGCTTCTTTAGTTATTCCCATTGTTCAGTAAGTCTGATTTTCTCCTAGAGGGCAATCACAGCTTTCTCTTCAGCTATTTTCTCCTCTGATTTCCCATTTTCATCTCACTGGGTCCATCTCTTAGAAATTTTTCTTCATGTTCCAAGGGCTTTTTAAGTTTGTGTTCAAGAGCATCAGTCTGATTCTCTGAAATGTATAAATTACTGTCTTTGAATCCTGTATAGATTTTAATTTTTTCTTCAAAATTTCTATTTATCATATTTCTCTTTCTTTTTCACTCTTTCCATTGTCTTTTTAATTGAGTTAGATCTCTCCCTTTAGCTTTTGGTTCATAGTTGATTGAGCCAATGTCTTTTGACATTTGAAGATGCCAAAACATTTCCTTTAAAATCTTATATTGGTTCCTCCCGTAGCTCATGTTTACTGAGCTATGAATGACATTTTCCTTTACAATTTCTGTAGCATATTATCATAGGTCCTTTTTTTTTCCTGATCACTTATTCTTGAATGTAGAAAAATCTTTCCAGATATTTTGCCTCCAGCAAATGTGTAGTGAATTGTGTTTGACTTCACTTTTTGCCAACTTACATGCTGGCTGAGGCTCCTTCCTGGCTCTCTAGCTGAGTGGCAACCCTTAATCCAGTTCAT